ATTTTTCTGTCTTGATTGGATAATAGAAATTCGATCTTTGTGGTCTTTGCATGGTGTGGTATCTTCCGCATATTTGATCACATGTTTTTAACTGAAAAAAAGTTGCTGGTACAAAAAAGGTTTAAAATATTTATTTTACCCCTCAAATGATGTTTTATACAGTTTCATTCTCAATTTGGATAAATCTTATGAATTCAAAAGATTTGATAAAATAAACAGTGAAACAAATATTTTAACATTGTTACAAGATGTTGATTGTTGGGTTCATTTGAATAGATCTTAAAAAAGTTCTATAATGAAGGTACTATAAACATAGCATTTATGTTGTCAAAGTTTAAAACTTCTGAGGTTTTGCTAGATGAGCATGGTGTGACAACTAACCCTCTAAAATGTACTTTGGGCACAATTAAGATTGTGTAATCACTATGCATATCTGCATTAGTAATCAGTATGAAATTATTTTGCCAATGTTTATTTAATATATCGTAGTATTTTTAAATATCAACCATAACTAACCATTGTCTATCAGACACACCAAGGACTGATATTGTTCTGGCATGTTTCACTAGAACAATGCAAACAATCAAGTATTTGAATAATTTTTAAGGTACTATACTATATAACTTTTGGAATAGCAGTCTACTCTTGTTCCTCTTTAGTTAATAAGGCCCATGCAGCTATCCATAATTACACTAACACCTTGAGTCAAACAAATCCAAATACAAGTGGAAAAGCCAAATAAAATCCTCTAATAATCTTTTCCAAACATCACACAACCAACTCAAAAGCTTGTTGACTTGTTGTAAGTGTTTGTATTTAACAGGATAATATATAAATCTGCTTGTTTAACCCACTGAGCACCAGCACACTCCCCTACACAAGTCAAATCGTCTGGCAATGGACAAGGTAAAATAATAAAGTAGGGCACAATGCAATATAGTAACTTTCTAATTTAACCCATTAAGCAACAATGCACCCAAATACACCCTACTTTATTATTTTACTCTGTCTAATGCCAGATGATTTTACTTGTCAAGGAGAGAGACTTAAATGCACTCTAATGGGTTAACCAAATGATCTGCAAATGTGTCTTGTTAACCCATTAATTTAAGCAGCAATGCTCCCAAATGCACCCTATATAACAAACATACTTGCAGGGAGGTGAGTCCGGGATTGGACTTCCAGCCACTCGAGGTGCGTTCAATCCCAGACTCACCGAACCTGCAAGTATGTTTGGTTTTTATCCCATACACTGAGCCATACACATATTTGTAGCTCTTCGCGATATATTCGTCAAAGTTTTGTCGACATTTTCCAGGTCAAAAAAATCACTGGGCTCTTAATACTTCTGGTGAGCTCAACGACAAGCTCACCTGCTCTAAACCAATCAGAAAGCTGCTTTTAACACAGGTATGGGATAATACTTTATTCTTCTACTCTGTCTACCGCCAGACAATTTTACTCATCAAGGAGAGAGTCTTGCACTTCTAGATATTAAATAATTTGGAACAGTTACCCTTATGACCCATCTTGCAAACTGGAAAAAACTGGATGTACAGAAGAGGAGAGTGTAAAGCTATCCTATTCTACACTTTTAAATGCATTACCACACACTTGTTCTTTATAAACATACAGTGTATGATATTAACCACTAGGTGATGCAAACGGGTTGTGTTGCCCGTGCAAGAAAATATTGCAACCTAGGCTTTAGTTTTGCATCTATGTTATCAATGAATATAGGCCCCATCTGCCAAATTCCATCGTTAACCTGTCGATTGTCAACCATTGCTTAGCCGTTTATGTCATGTAGTAAAAGAAGGAACACCGGAATACCGGAATGGCGGAATACCGGAATGGCGGAATACCGGAACATCGTTTTCATTTTGACGGAAAGTTAAAAGGAAGTATTTTAAATCCGATCTGTAAAAGGAATTTAAATATATTTATAAAGGCTATAAACAGGCAAAAATTACAGGAACCACTGAGTATTTTAAGTATGAATACAACTGCGAAAAAAGTTGTCCTCACTGGAATGGGATAAAGATCTGCTCCCATACTATCGCTGCGGCTTAATCGAATGGAGATTTATCAAAATTTCTCGTGTGGTACAAGCAGAAAAGAAATACCAAAGCAGCAAATTTGTCCGCGGTTGTGCATACAGACATGCCACAACATCCCGGAAGAAAAGGCGGTGTACCTGTTACATCAAGAAGAGCAACTCCTAAACTACCCGTTGATGCACGACGAAAGCGCACATACAGTAAATCTACTGAAAGTTCGTCTATTGTAACAGAGGTACCAAATATAAACCCATTCTACGTTAAAAAGATGAACATTCGAATTGAAGTATGCCAAGGATGCAGGGGTCCTCTGAAGTCGGCAGGGAAAGAAATTCAGCCCCCGCCGTTCGATTACTGTATTGCGAGGAGGGAAAGACGACCATACAGGGGTGACAATGGCCAAACACTCCATCCCGACAGTCAGATGCACATTATCACCTGTGAGCAACATGCGTTAAAGCTGCAGAACCGTCATTTGTAACATCTTCTCTTGTGATACCTGACGACATCCAGCTAACAGAAGTTCATGAATGATATCTCGTCCATGAGTTTGGGCTCAATTTCGTTGCGAGATAGAGACATCGAATTCAAGACTTTGTTATAACATATATCACATTTGGCTGACATATGACAATATATCCTTTACAGAATAAAATAGGGATTTTTACTTGTTGTTTACGTTACGTTGTGACACAATGTTGTGTTATGTTATGTTTCAGTGACCTATTCAGTAGGCTACTCTGTAGGCTTACAGTAGGTTACTGTAATATTGTCGGTTTCAGGTCACTTTTCAAAACGCGGTTCCGGTTTGTTGTGAATATTCCCATTCAGCTTTTTAAATTTGGAATATTGAGCGTGGAATTACAATTTAAGTTGCTTACTCAAATACCGAAGTACTGAACTGGAATACCGACGTAGCGATCTTAAACTCCTAATTTGCAGTGTTTTACTTATATAGCCAACGAATTAAACGTATTTCTCAAGACTTAATAAATAATTGGGAATTACCAACAAACAAACTAGGGAACCACGCTTTGAGAGGTGATCTGAAATCCACAATAACTAGTGTATTGTCACGGTGGGCATAAAAGACAGCGAATTTGGCCAAGTACATATAACTTTCTCTCGTTAGTTTGGAATATCACGAAACTCCCTCACAGGATAGAACTTAACATTCCTAAAAATCGTATGTTTTTTGTTTTTCGATTTTGTTACATTTTGGCGGGAAAATGACGTGCCAACTTTGGCGCCAAAAAATAAACACGAGCTAAGAACATGCTAGTAACTTTTTCGAAAAGATTGTCCTATAAGAATCTAAAAACTGTAAAAACATTAAAAATACAACAAGGCAGTGCGAAGATATGGCGATTCAAAGTTCTATTTTTACTGAAAAATCAGCCATTTTGTTACTAAAAATAGATTTTTTTCGAACTTTGAATCGCCATATCTTCGCACTGCCTTGTTGTATTTTTAATGTTTTTACAATTTTGAGATCCTTATAGGACAATCTTTTCGAAAAAGTTACTTGCATGTTCTTAGCTCGTGTTTATTTTTTTGGCGCCAAAGTTGGCACGTCATTTTCCCGCCAAAATGTAACAAAATCGAAAAACATACGATTTTTAGGAATGTTAAGTTCTATCCTGTCAGGGAGTTTCGTGATATTCCAAACTAACGAGAGAAAGTTATATGTACTTGGCCAAATTCGCTGTCTTTTATGCCCACCGTGTGTTTACATTTACTTAATTCAAATTCACGTCGAGACTTTAATTTAAATTAATCAGCGAATCCTGGTAGAATATAACTGGGATATTAGTTTTATTCACACGAATATATGTATTCCTTCGAGGGAAACAACTTATGAGATGTCTCACAAGAAAATGTTTAGCAACAACTCGTAATGCAAGTCGTTGCCGACCCAATTGAATTTCAAGTAACACCATTTACATGGTGAAACGTCGCCAAACATTGTCTTGTGGGACATCGCGTTATTAAGTGTTTGTGTGCGTTTGATATCCTTGTAAATAAGGTCTACTAAACTGCCACATTGAATAATACTGTATATATATTGACATTTTTTATTCATGTTTAAACGCCTTAAATAAAAAATTCCTTATGGATTTGAAATATTTTTTTAAATTGTCCTTCAAAAGTAAAAATACTTTTCGGGTGTTCCGGCATTCAGGTGTTCCGGTATTCCGGTGTTCCTTCTTTTACTACATGCCGCCGTTTATATAGGTTTAATATAGCAAACCTCCAGACTACTATGTCACTTAATGGTTTAACACGATACATGTACAAGATTACAAGAATCTACCTTTGACAACTTAGATACTATTAAGAATTACCAATTTTATATTCTAATATAAATTGAAATCAAGGTCGAATGGGCTATTACATTAAAAAACCAAACCCCCCCTGTCGAGGACCTCTGCTTTTGGGGATTTTTACCCCTCTGGAATGCAAAAAAATCTGTGTAATTGACCCCTCTGGAAGAGACTTGAACCCCCTCTGGAAGTGCTTTTTTGCTTTTTAACCCCTCTGGAAAGAGCATTTTTCTTCCATTTTTCCCAATTACCCCTCTGGAAAAAATGACTAATTTCCCCCTGGGAAAATGAGGTCCTCGACAGGGGGGGTAAGGATATTAAATGTAATAGCCCAATATATGTATACTGCAAGTGGTCTTTGACCCCTTCACCCTTACCTTGATGTGCTCTCCCTGCAGTTTTCTACAATGAACCATAAAACAACATCAATATAAATGAACATGAGAAGCCAAACAAAATGTAAATTAATAACTTACACTCAATTTAGCTGAAAATTTCAACGTGGAACGAATATATCTAAGATTCCTTGCCCCACATGTGAAAGGCAACATCATGGAAGATTACACGACCGCGTAAGTAAAATCTTTGAAGGACTGAACTCTAGTCCCACGGTGAAGGCCGCAAAGCCATGTGGGAACGTTCTCTTTTGCCTATACAATCATGGCGACTCAAATCAGTAAAAAACGAAAGGTAGATTTTATGCCCGTCGAAACGTTATATTCAACATACATATTGATAAATTTACACTCATTTCGGTAGATAGTTTATCTAACTTTTATGTAACGTATCCCTGTGTTGTGATGTTTGATTTTGTCCTTGGATTTCGAAGGATTCAATCGAACATTTTTGTTGTTATCGTATACAATTTATATGCCTTTAATGACTTTGTGGCGTTGAACAGCCATTCATTCGCCCGTAAAACACTTTCTGAACCTCAGATAGTATAGCCCTAATTTCGTAAAATAGTGGACAAGTATTATGTAGCTCAAAACACGAAGTATTGCAGGCAGAAAACCGAGATATTATTTCATGTTTGTAGTTTGTGGCTGATGGGATCTTTAAGGCTGAACTTAATGAGTTCTTAACTCGTGAGCTTGCAGAAGATGGCTACAGTGGTGTTGAAGTACGTGTTACACCAATTAGAACTGAGATTATTATCTTGGCAACAAGAACTCAGAATATCCTAGGTGAGAAAGGACGCAGGATTCGTGAACTTACATCAGTTGTACAGAAAAGATTCAACTTTCCTGAAGGCACCGTTGAGGTAAGTGATTATGCATTTATAATAGAATGCAAGCGTTGAGATAAGTGATTATGAATTTATAATAGAAATTAGAATGCAAGCTTCTTCACATTGGTGTCAAGTTTGCTAATATGCCTTTCCAGGGTTGGGACACCTTTTCAATGGTTTGACTACCTCATTAGGGTTAGGGTGACATTACCTACAATGCCTATGAGGTAGTCAACCCTAGTTGTACCATACCCAAGGGTCTTGCTATTGTTGTTTTATTATGTTTTCCCACTCGAAAGATGGCATTGATCACAAACCCGGAAAAGGTGTATTGGATAATTTCAGAAATGATCCACACTGGCTCCCCCAAGGGGAGAAATTCGGACATCCGAAGGCTAGAGAGATTAACTCCCAATTTCCTTTGTGGGAGAGTTACGAATGTTTTTTTTTTTTTTTTTTAATTAGCAAGTGTTTAAAAATAGGCTGTTGCAGTATTTGAAAAAAACGAAAATTGATGCCGGAAAAATAATACCGATATATCAATATTTTTTCGTAAATATTGTATTTTATGCAAAATTTGCTTGATTTTATCAGGGCTCGAAATAACGTTTCCAACGTTCCCGATCGTGGTAATCAGCAGTCATGATTTTCTGCTGAGGCGTAAAAAAAAATACCTGTGGTTCCGGTTTCATATCGTGAAAAAATTAGGGTCGGTAGGTCGGAAATAAATTTTTTTTGGAATATTTTTTTCATGATTTTGGCGTTTTTTTGCTGAGCGATTTGCAGTAGAGTCCCGACATCAATATTAACTAGAGATGCGTATTTCCTATGGACGAATTTAGGCAATTTGGTTCAATAATTAGTATGACAACAGATGCCATTTTGGCACGCTGTTTGAGCAGCCCGCAACCACCCAGAGAAAATAGTGTCGCACAGTCAATCGCGTTGAAAAAATAATAGGGTCGGCAGAAAAAAATAGGGTCGGTCGGGAACCGGAACCACAGGTATTTTTTTTACGCCTGATCAAGTGAAAATCTGACCGATCAGTATAGGATACGTTCTGTTTATATGCTCTGTGATAATGCCGTAGTATTGCATGGTGTTCGTTAACAACATTAACTGTGTTTTTGAAACAACGGTTCTTGCCGATCAAGATGATCGGCAACCTTGCTTCTCTGACAATCAAAAGTAATTTCCTGCCGATCATTGATCCAGGGCTCGAAATAACGTTCCCAACGTTCCCGACGTTCCCGATTATGGTGATCGGCCATCATGACTTTTTGCCGATCAAATAAAAATCTGGGCGATCAGGAGCATTTGCTGTCATTTCCTTGAAAAAATTCTAAATATGCCCTTAAAATCGTAAATTAGCCATTCCGAAGTTGATGAGTGGACTGGGGATGAGTGTTAAAAAGTGCTCAAATTAAGAAATGAACCAAATCACTAAAAAGGCCACGTCAAAAATAGTAAGTACACAAAGTTTGAAGATGTTTACATGAATATCCTTTGAATAATAAGCTTTCGAAATCGCAATATTTACTATGAAATGTATTGTAATTTTTGTTTTTGGGACGTGTGTCCCAAAAACAATCTTTTAATCAGTAATTTCACAATTTTTGAAAGCTTATTATTTGAAGGGTATTCTTGTAAACGTTTTCAAACTTTGCATACTTACTAATTTTGAGGTGGTCTTTTTAGTTATTTGGTTCATTTCTTAATTTGGGCACTTTTTAACACTCGTCCCCAGTGCTCTCATCAACTTCGGAATGGCTAATACACATCTGAACAGGAAATTTAACTTTATTTCAAATTCAAGTTTAAATCTATGACATTTGTGGACCTATATATATATATATATAATACTAATAGTGTATCTACATTTAACATGTATTAATAAACTTTAGTTTATTATAACACTTTTCAAGTTTTAATTTTAGTATTGCATTTTTTACACAAACATAAGAAACTCAGCAGCATTATCAATTAAGAACTAAAACTTATTATTTAATAAAAGTAAAAGAGAAAATCCTACTAAAATAAAAAATCCTATCAATTTGAAATTATTATAACAAAGACGTTTGTCATTAGTGGTTTGGATTGCAGACTGTTGAAGAGACGACAATACTTCATGCAAATTTGTTTTATAGTAAATTAATTACTTTAGAGCGAGAATAATATTGCGGCCTTTCCTGTTGTATGACTCGTATCAACTAAACAAGAGCTTTTCGTTTGTTTTTGAATGTGTTTTATGTTACTTTTATTTGTCTTTTACCGCATACAGGTAAGCATGTCTTTCAGACAATGGTCGAATATATTTCTTGCCAATCAAGATGAACGGCAACGTTGCTTCTTCGCCGATCAAAAACAATTTCCTGCTGATCCGTTATTTCAAGCCCTGTTGACCGTTGATTGGCCGTTATTTCTTGCCCTGTTGTTTTTCTGCCCACGATATAACAAGAGAAATGTCCACTTTGGGAATTGAAAATGTGTGTATTTGCATCCGCACTCAGACTGAATTATCCGTACTCAGAGTGAATCATGTGTTATATTTTTGGTCAGGAAATTTGTTTCAAAACATGTTATTCAACTGCAAATTTGAAAACATGCAAAGATTGTCATATCTCACCTGATAAATAATGTCCAATGCTCAAGGTTAGTTTTTGTTTTTTTAAAACATTTGTAATCCAGCATTGTTTACGTTCTAAAAGTTCACTTTTTGCAAGCAAAATGACATATTAGACCTTGCAATGCCAATGACGACATTAACAAACACATTTAGCTCTCGCTCTAACCCTAATTAGGGATTTTCCCGCAGAGTTAGCACATTGATCGTCTTTGTCCTTCTGAAATAACTCCAATCAGCGATTGAAAAAGCTTGATTTGACGTTTAAATATACAAATGTAAACGTGATATCGATAATACCAAGAAGTATCGATATTCCGTTATATCAAAAATTTCATTATCAAGTAATCGGTATTTATAAAAGATAATTATCGGTATATCGATATACTACAACAGCCTAGTTTAAAACTTGGCTGACTGATGATCTAGGCAAGCCTGGAAAGAATTTTTTGGGACCTGCCTGTCAAAATTACCAGCACCAATGCATATGTGCATGTCACAAAAAAAAATATGATGCAATATGCAGTGGTTACATATAATTATATGTTCAATGGTATTTAGAAATCTGCAGCTTTTGCAGAGCAGCTTTTGCTAACCTTGCATTTTAATTTTGTTGAAATAATATTTTGCTAATATATAGAAATAATCACATAAGTTTCCTGATAATTTGATATAATTTGCTTTTAAGCAAAAATCTAGACTTTAAGTAACAGGGAAATTCAATTTTGGGAAAAAGTGGGACATTTTGAGTGATGAGAAGGAAATTTCTTAGGGTTGAAATGCTGAATAATGCAAACTGGACAAAGTGACAGACACAAGTAAAGTTGTGCCTGTCAAAACACTAGAAATCACGTATTTGTACCGGTCAATGACTGTGACCAGATGCTTATTTTCAGGCTTGGATCTAGGAGAGTGATTCAACACAGTATTTATATTTTAGTTGTATGCTGAAAAAGTGGCAACTCGTGGGTTAAGTGCCATCACACAGGCAGAATCTCTAAGATACAAATTGCTTGGTGGCTTAGCTGTGAGGAGGTAACTTACAAGTAGACTATATATATAATAAACATACCAGATGTTTTAGAAGTGACTGTTCTTGCAGCGATGCCAATTGAACAAACTTTTTTTGGCTGTGAGTGTATATTGGCTGTGATTGGTTGTTTGATAAATTTGACTGTTGCAGTTCAACATTTCACCAGGAGTTTTCTTTTCCTTCTGAAATGAAAGAAAAAACTTTGGAACCAGAATAATACGGTTTCCTTTTGTAACACTAGATAATAATTTGTATTGTATCCATGTGAATAATCATGTTCAACATTTTCAGAGCATGCTATGGTGTTCTTCGATATATTATGGAGAGTGGTGCAAAAGGTTGTGAAGTAGTGGTTTCTGGCAAGCTACGTGGCCAGCGTGCAAAATCTATGAAATTTGTTGATGGATTAATGATCCATAGTGGTGAACCAACAAAGACCTATGTTGATACTGCTGTAAGGCATGTATATTTAAGACAAGGTGAGAACCATAGTCAAAAAATTATTATATAATATTTTAATGTGGCCCATGAAAACATTGCCTAATGCCTATATTCACAACTCGTGGATAAAGACAGGAATCTAGTCCAGCAAGCTATCTAGATGTTCATAAATCTGAAATTGGAACACTAATTTAATTTTTTTATTGATGAAATCAACAAGCTTCAGTAGCTCAGTGGTTACGGCATGGATAATAAAATAAATGGATAGGACTCTTGCTGACGTAAGCAAAAACAACCTAGTTGCAATCTCTGACGTCACGCGTATTGCAAAGTTCTCTGCATTTTTGTTGTTTCGCTATATTTTCCGCCTTAAAAGAGCAATATTGAAGCATAAACCGGTCTAATTGTTTTAAAAACATGCCTAAGCCACGACAAAGTATTCAAGGTAAATGTTTTTCGTCTTTGTTTTGTATTTTTTTACATTTGTAGCTACGAAATTGGCGTCCCCAATTTTAACGAAATTTGGGATGCCTTTTTCACGGTTTAGTGCTTGAAATATTTGCTAAAATTGACTGGGAATACTTAGAGATTTCATCGTAGAATGGCGTAGTTATATTCATTTGCTCTTTGACTAAAATGTTTAGCTGTATTATTGCTAAACATGCCGTTTTTGAGAATTTGGTTTGCAACTAGGTTTCAACCATAGAGATTATAAATAACACTAGAGGAGGCATTGTAATCTTAATTCAGTAAAAAAAAGGGAACGCGACTATTGGGGGGCAAATTCAAGTCCCGGATGTGTATTCGTGTTCCCATTGGTGACGAGTTTCAAATCAGCCAATGAGAGCACGATTTTACATCCGGGACTTGAATTTGCCCCCCATTAGCTGCGTTCCCAATTTTTAAACTCGATGCCTCCTCTAGTGTTATTTATAATCTCTATGGTTTCAACATCCAATCACGCCATCAGCCCATTGAAAACATTAGGTCACGTCAGCTAGTTTCCTATCCATTTATTTTATTATCCATGGTTACGGCATGCAGCTGTTATTCACAATGTGTCCGAGTCCTCTGGAAGTACTTTTACTTTTTGGAAATTCAATTTTTTTTCTTTGACTAATTAATTAACTAAGCCCATTAATTATCTATCCTATTTGAACCTTAACTGTGCTTGCATGATAATAGTCCTGTGTACTAAGTAAATGCCAATGTTTATTGATGATATTTTTAATTTGGTTCCATGGGAACAGTACCATTTTCTTTCCATTTGTTTATGCTGATATAAAATTATCTATCAGGTGTGCTTGGTATCAAAGTGAAAATTATGTTGCCATGGGATCCAACTGGTAAAAATGGACCAAAGAAGCCACTTCCTGATCAAGTCAGTATTGTTGAACCCAAAGAAGAAGTAAACCCAGCTTCTCCTACTTCAGAACACAAAGGTGGCAAGCCTGATCAACCTGCACCACTGGCTACCTAGGTACAGTATACATCCACCATAAACAACTATTAAGGAATAAGGAGTCCTTCACAAGTGTACTGAACATTTCCCTTTTGTTTTTTGCAGGTTGGAATTTTCATGAACTGATGGAAGCAGTGTAAAATTTATGAAAAATAAATGATAAAGAACTGAAGATTTTGTTTCTTTGTTGCACCGTATTAAAAATAGTCTGGGTTTCTATTTTGGTTGAGACCTGAACCATGGAGGGAGGGAGGAGGACTGGCTTTAGCCCCTGGTCATTTTTGTGAATAGTGTGGATCAATTTGTCCGAACCATTAGTGACTTGCAACTTGTATTATTTCATTTTTAACCCAATTACGTAAGACGATTTTCTCGTCAAGGGTAACGCGCTGCTGCTCATTGGGTTAATGAATAATGTCCTGTCCACACAGTCATGGGTAGATGTAATGTTTTTATGAAGTTATATATATTAGTCAAGAATAGAAAAAGGATTTTTCAAAGAATATATTTTCAATAACTCGACTAGTTATATCACGTAATTTTTTCATTGCTCGAAATTACGTTGGCTTCCGAGTGTTTTGGATTCACGTGCCTTTTTATTAATCTAGGCTTGCATGCACACTTTGTCAGAGTTGGTACAAGGAGCTTGTATGAATGTACCCTGAGATAATTCAGCGTCTACCTCTATCTGTCCTCTGATGACCTATTTCAATAGATCTGCTTCACATTACGTAAACAACCCCAAAGAGACTTGTGCATAAGCTGTAGACTCTATCTACAACAATCTTTATCCAACATTAACCATTGGACTATGGAAAACAACCTCCGCTTCAACGCCTCCAAATGCAAAGTCCTCGCCTAAAACAATTACCAACAATTTTCAATTACCAAAAAAGTTGCGAAATATTACAAAAAGTATGATGTTTGTGATGTTACTCGGAGTGTATATCCACACCGGGCAAGCTTGGAAAATATGCCTGGGCGAGCATTGCCTCTGTGCCATTGTGCTAGTATTCCAAAGGTCGTAGGTTCGATTCTCACCGTGGCCAGGCATATTTTCCAAACTTGCCCAGTGTGGATATACACTCAATTTACTCGGATCGGATTTCTTTTTGTGGTTGTCGGATCGGATTTTGTAGGTTTTTTGTCGGATCGGATTTGGTTTTTATCTTGTATTGCATCGAATTACTCGAATATTTTAACAAATTAAGATAGTTATATAATATCTATATGGCAGGAAGTGCCTGGAAGGCTTTGGAGCCGCGTGATTTGGTCGAAGCGGAGTAATACTATATTATGTCTGGTGCTGACAGTGAAGTATAAAACTGTGTTTTGAGTTCTTTTGACGTATATTTCTGACGAAAGAAACGCTGGAATTGGGATATAGGAATGTTGTGATTCTTTGTTTAGTTTGTTACTGTTAGGTTTATGTGTCATCAGGCCTAGGGCGTAGGAAGCATTAAAAGATTGGGGGGGGCACCGGCTTCCAGAGGCACTTTTGGACATTGAAAAGGGCACCTAAACAATTCCCCCCCCCCCCCCCCCGAAATGTTGGCGACCGGGGGGAGGGGATTTTCCCGTCATACTGGCGAAATTGCACGTTTCTTGACCAATTTTTTTTTAAAACATCGAAATTTCCAAACAATTAAAAAGGCCACCTTTGATGTTAATTTAGTATTTACAGCGACATTAGCTTGTACAAAAAGGGCACTTTTTATCACAAAAAAGGGCACTTTTGGTCCTTTGAAAAGATTGGGGGGGGGGGGGCATGTGCCCCCTCGGTTCCTACGTCCCTGTGTGTCGTGAAGCACAGCTGACAATGAGATTTATTAGTGATAAATTTTAATGCCACCCAGCTCAAGCTCATGCATTGTTATAATAACTAGAACTAGACTAGTTGTTTTTCTCTACGGTATTAAATTCTAATAAAGAATAAACTGCTGTTAACGTGTAAATGCTCTAAGGCATATAAATTATGTGATATCGCCCTGCAACTTTTATCGGATTCGTATCTGCTTATTTTTTCTGGAAATTCTGAATTTCAAATTCATTATTTCCAATCTATCGTTTACGATCATGAAAAAATACGTTCATGAAAAAATACGTTCATACACCGAATAATTAACGCACGCTGTATATAATAACTTAAGTTCGAATCGGATTACGAATTTTAGCATCGGGTCGGATTTTGTAAACATTTTATCGGATCGGATTGCTTTTTCCATCTTCGGATTCGGATTGAGAACTTAGACAAACCATCGGATTCAAAGAGGTCAATCCGATCCGACGCACACCTCAACTCATGCAGAGTAACATCACAAACATATTCACCTGAGTACATATTTAAACACCAACACCGAAAAAAAAAACAAAGCTTAGTGTGATTAACAATCACTTCCAATCAGATTAAGAGCTTTTTTGGATCGTGATCTGATTGGTTAAAATGAGGGCGGACCAGAAAGCAGACGGGTACCTACAAAATAGCGAAATAGCTGCTATCCTGACGCAACCTCGTACCCAGGGCATTTTAAATGCCCTGCAATCAGGAGCAAAAATTATTGAGACAAACGCATAAATGCCCCCCTCACCCCCAATTCAATGTTGTGTGGATGACTGAAAAGAGAATATTCAACCCGCTTTTTCCAACATTGATCATGGGGGGAGGGGGGGAGGCCGATAACTTGAAAAAGGCCAAAAACGTGAAAAGTCTCATTATTTTTGCTCCTGATTGTGGGTACGAGGTTGGTCCTGACGTGAAACTTAATTAAACTTTAGAACTGCCATAAAGGGCCCCTAAAATTAACACATTGGAAAAGATAAAAATATATAGATTTTAGTTTCTCCCCCGCTCGCCAACAATTTTTTGAAAAAATATTAAGTATTCAGCCATCCTTCACTGCGTCTCGGCCCCATTAGACGTTGCTCTTCGTTGTCCTTTTTAAGACGCCAGCATGTCCCTGGTTTAATTTAGGTTTTTAGTTGTGTTTTTAAATTTGATATGACATAAACAAGTAGTAAAGATACATTTTTATAAGTTTTACAAAACACACTGCTTACTTTTTTAGTCGCAATTCAATTGATCGGTAAATTAGAATTAATCTGTTTTATATCGAAGGGTAAGTTACGCCGTACGTTGTAAACAAATAACATTTTTAAAAAGAAAAGTGCCTCATCAGTCCATACTAGTTCGTATCGGTCAAGTCCGTCTCGTGCTAGAACGCCGTATGTTGACGTTTAAGCTAGATTTCTGCTAAACTCAACGTTTAATATCGTCAGAGGCGAGTGGTGAGATAGGTGGCTTACCAACCGGTATTGAACGAACGACGGGGGAGAGTGCCAGCTGCCCCCAGACCATTATGTCTGGTACCCTTTTGCAAGATCCTATGATCGGTAACTATCATGCATACACGAATAAAAGTAACAGTTTCGTATATAAGTACATTGTAGTTGCCAGGTGTGGTGCATGTGGGACGCTTTAGCTTGGTGTTTACCAACCCTTTGAAACGAACGCATGCGCGATAACCTGACACTCGGGTAAACGTAGCGCATGCATGGCCATCATCCAATCAGGACGCAGGAAAATTTCGCACTGGTCCCGCGAGTTCGAGACATGTGCGAGATGGCTCAGAAATTTGAAATTTGTATACAAAACAAATTCAAGACATATTTGTGCCTTGTTTTTAATAGTGAAAATGTTCAAGTAATATTTAAGTTTTACCAAAATTATTAGCGGGCTGGGTAGCGACGGCTAAACAGCCGGGGCGGCGGCCATCCATGATTCATGTGGGCTGTAGGCGGCCTACATGAAGTATCAACTTTGTTTACACTAAGTGTACTGTGTCGTCTTGTATATCACCTTTTGTCCCCTTGTATCGCGTTAGTTAACTTAGTTTGTAAAATATTCAAAATGGAAGAAATAGGAATTATTTCTCAGGTAAGAAATGAAAGTTTTTTATAATATAGCCTCTCTATTGTTTGTTTTGTATCTATAATATATGAAATATACCACTATTGGTCTAAAATTATTCAATAAAGATTAAATTTGCCCATGTTATTCTTGAAGTTGTGTCTAATTTTCCCTTTCAAGTTTCAACAAAAGGGAAAACACACTATAACTACAGCACTCTTTAACCCAGTTATTTTACGATTTTGTAGCCCCAACAATAGGGTGAGGTCGTTAATCAATAAGGGGCCACGTCCATATTCATGTTGCCACTAGAAGTAATCGACATTATATCACCCACCCCAGATAACGTTGATTGATATTCAGTTGTATTTTGACTGCTAAACTCACAATTATTGTACTTTACTACCGTCATTGGCTGGGATTGTATTTTGATACAATATTTAAACAATAAACGATATTCGGATACTGGGATGGTTACTTTGGACATTAATTAATTGTCAAATAACTCAAATTGCCACAAGATAACGTTGATAAGTTCACATAAAAACCCACCTACCCCAGACTGGAAAGTTTGGAAATTGCGTGCCGGAGATTTCGAAAATTTAATAGTAAATATATAGAAAGCATCAAAATTGCGCGCCGGAGATATCCGCTGCGCGATACAAACTTTTCACACTGGCACCTACCCACTCATAATGTCGATTCAACGTTATTTGTGGCAACATGAATATGGACGTGGCCCCAAACCAGAAAAAAAGATGTTTTTTAAAACCGATTTAACCAATATTGTTATCATAGGTCTCCCTCAAAAAGGTAGCGTTGCATCATTTATATTATTTCCCGAAGGTTGGCAAGAAAATATATTGGGGATAACGGTTGCCGTCACAAGATAAAGCTCTTTGATTGGCTGGCTGAAGGCTGTCTGGAATTTTGGCCAATCAAAGAGCTTTATTTTGTGACGTTCGGATGGCAGCTGTCATCCCGCATAGTTTGAAAAGATTGACTAAATAATTCACTTGTTTTAATTAATGTGGTGAAAGAACAAAATAAATACAATGTAGGAGTGTTATGTTTTGTCTGACCATGAGTTAAATTATTTTTTAAATGAATTTCAATGTTTATGTATGAGTTTTCTGTCTTTAGTTTTTGTAAAAAAACATTGAAATTTCCTATAAATTTTTTTCACTGGATTTACTTACATGACACAGAATAGTACTTACAACTTAACTAGCTTGTGTAAAAGTGCATACGTAAATGTGTTCAGGAAACAAAAAGAGCACCTTCGATGTTAACCCATTAAGCGCCAGCGCTCTCCCCTACACGAGTAAAATTGTCTGGCGTTACACAGAGTAAAATACTAAAGTAGGGTGAGTCAGGGTGCAATGCGACTCAATGGGTTAACTAGACACACAGCAGATAGGCCAGTTGACCCATTAAGCGCCAGTGCTCTCCCCTTGACGAGTAAAATCGTCTGGCGTTAGACAGAGTAAAATACTAAAGTAGGGTGCATCAGGGTACAATGCGACTCAATGGATTAATACAGTATTTACAGCAACATTAGCTTGTAGAAATAGCACTCAGAAATGCATTTTTTCCATTTCTCATGTGGAATTGCCCAACAGTAATACCAATTAATATTAATATGTTAATTTTGTCAGTGTACAAGGAAAGAGCTGTACAGGTGCAATAGCTAGAAACAGTGAATCAAAACAAACCAGACAAGAACCATTAAGAACCAGACATTACAAGTTTGACCTTTCACGCTAGAAAAGCAGTTCACTTCTGGACCAATAGGATTACAGAATTACACAGTGTTTTACTTTTAGTCTTGAAAAGGTTTCATGCATCAAGGTTAATAGATTAATCCTATTACTATTAACCGTGCATGCATGGACCAATCAAATTAAAATATCAAGAACTGATTTCCGTTTTTAGCCAATCACCTAGGTTGTTTCAAACAAGGCTGTCAACAGCTTGTAATTTTCACATGTCAATACTGTTTCCTCCCATATGCCATGCCTTATGTCTGTTCACAGGTAATATTGTCTGGTGTTTTATTTAACTGAGTAGCAAGAACTATAAACCCTTGGTGTAATAACCAAAAGAGTATTTAAAGAGTAAACATTTCGCACATTTCATTTATTACCTCTTGACATGCATGGTGTTTCCCATTTTCTGACCCCAAGTTCAGTGGTCAGGCGTAAAAAAAAATACCTGTGGTTCCGGTTTCATATCGTGAAAAAATTAGGGTCGGTAGGTCGGAAATAAATTTTTTTTTTAAATATTTTTTTTCATGGTTTTGGTGTTTTTTTTGCTGGTCGATTTTCAGTAGAGTCCCGACATCAATATTAACTAGAGATGCGTATTTCCTATGGACGAATGTAGGCAATTTGGTTCAATAATTAGTGTGACAATTAACAGACTGGCTTTTGGCACGCTGTATGAGCAGCCTGCAACCACCTGGAGAAAATAGGGTCGCACAGTCAATCGTGTTGAAAAAATAATAGGGTCGGCAGAAAGAAAATAGGGTCGGTCGGGAACCGGAACCACAGGTATTTTTTTTTTACGCCTCAGTTGGACACTTTGTGAAATATTAAGGGGGCTCATGCTGAGGGAACAAGAATTTTAGCGGGTTCAGGGGACATGCCCCCTGGAAAATTTTTAAAATTTGAATCTTGGAAATGGCATTTGCAGCATTCTGAGAGCACATTTTGTAAAAAACTAGGTTTTCCAAACACTGTTTTAATGGTGCATATGGTTAAAATCCATGCTAAGCATAGAAAACCAATATTTCAGAGAAAATATTTACATGATTATTTACATTTGTGAATGGAATTGCAAGGTGGTTTAATTTAATTAACACGCCAATGACAATGTAAAACTTTATTTGCTAAGTGAGTGAAATTTATTCGCTACGCACGCTTTTGTTTCGTTAACATAAAACCACAAATTGGAATGTCAATTCAATTATCCATTGTTTTTTCAGCATGATAGTTTAATACGCATTCAAATATTATCATGCAGCAGGAAATTTCGCCGCTAAACAATAGTATAAGCTTTAAAAACAACAAAAAATTGACAATGACATTTAAAGAAGTGCTTATTGCAAAAAGTTGACCCCCTAGTGTCCGTCAAAAGGAGTGTATAAAATGTGTATGTTGTGACATGTACAGCACAGAAACATATATTATGTTTGCGATGTTACTCTGAGTGCATATCCACACCGGGCGAGCTTGAAAAATATGCCCGGCCACGGTGGGATTCAAGCTCGCCCGGTGTGGATATGCACTCAGAGTAACATCGCAAACATAATATTCACCTGAGTACACAACACCACCACAGAAAAATTGAAACATATATTATTATATTGTTTGGTATATTGCTTGTACTTTTTTCGCTTACGTTTTATCAAATAGTTATTATTTAATATGACAATTAGCCTTTTCCCAAAAGAGATCACAGTGAATTCTGGGATCGTTTGGAGGGACAAAATATATGGTGACAGGCATCAAATATGTGAAAGAGTAGAAGTATCTACTATCAAATATCAACTTTTTAGACGACCAAAAATAAAATATCAACTTTTTACATTAAACATTTAATTTAAATGTGTGCTGCCATATTTCTTGTCCCTCCAACATGGGATTGGTCGGCGTTAGATCATATCGAACTAACGTACCAGTAAGTATAATAAAAGATGTGATCTTGAAATGAAACTGAACGAGATTGGCTAAAAATCATTTTTATATATTAATGAAATTAAATTAAGTGTTGTGGTACAGTGGTGTAATTTTTGACAAGCCAATAAACCTAATAATTTTAATAAATGGTATAGAATGTGCGAGAACCCAATTTCCTTGCATATGAACCACACCCCTCCCACCCCCCTTGAATTTTCTGTGTCTCATTATGATGAGATTATACTAGATTATGATATACTATATGTATAGGTATACTATTGTATGGTTTTGAGTGCAATTTGGGAAAAAAACATGCATGAGTGAGTTTTTCAAAGACGATCAAAATTGCACAAGTCCGAAGGACGAGTGCAATTTGAAGTGAAAATTTGAAAACTCACGCAATTTGAAAACTCGCGAGTATACTACTTACTAAACTCACTATACTAAAATTATGCAGTCATGTCGATGCGTAGGTCACGTGCGAAATAAACAATTTTATTAGAAAATTTTGTCACTCGTAATGTTCGTTTTTTTTTATTATTTTCACTTTTTGCACTGACACTGTATTTCACTTTTTGGCACTGTATTTCGAAAAAATTGCACTGCTCTTAGCCAATCAGAATTGAGAAATTTTTTCACGTATATTATTAAAACTTCTAAATGTGCAGGAGGAAAATTTCAATAAGGGCAATTTGCCCGGCAGTGCAGCTACCACAGAGATAGACGTTGATGATCTGTATGCCAAATACAAGAAGCTTCAAAAACAACTGGAATTTCTTGAAGTACAAGAAGAGTATATAAAAGATGAACAAAGAAATTTAAAGCGGGAATTACTGCATGCCCAAGAAGAAGTCAAAAGAATTCAGTCCGTACCTTTGGTGATTGGACAGTTTCTTGAAGCTGTAGATCAAAATACAGGCATTGTTGGATCTACTACTGGTGGGTAACCAACATTTTCACAATAAAACGTATACAGTATATTATAAACTGTATATTATGATGTATCGCAATACCAAAACATGCAAGGCGTATGTTTTTCTTTGATATCAAGGAACTCAATATTTTGAATTACAAATTGATAACAATTGCTAGCGCCATATTCGTCATTTTAAATGACGTTTTTCCTGTGCAAAGCTAGGACCACGTAAAATATGCTCGGTCTGAAACGATTTCAACCTACAAGGGAGCACGTAAAACGTCACAAAACGATCTAAAACCACTCACAACCATTCAAATCAATTCAAAACGCCCTAAAATTACGTAAATGGTAATTTTCCCCCTATATTTAGTGGTTGCGAGGTTACATTTTAGTTGGTTTTGATCGTCTGGTGCGATTTTAGATGGGTTTAATCGCTAAATTGTATATATAAACTTTGCAAATATCCGTATGCGGCTTTAACGTAAAGCAGTCATATAACTGATCGATTTGGTGCACCTACTCTGTCCTACTGAAGTACTTTTAAGTTTTATTTTCACACAGTACTGTATGAAAATAAAACTTAAATTTTAATTTAAAAGTACTTAAAGTACTATAATTATAGTAATTACTATAAACTTAAAAGTACTATAAACTTAAAGTATATATAAACTATATATAAACTTAAAAGTACTATAATTGTAGTAATTGTACTTAAAAGTACTATAATTATGGTAGTCAGTTATGTTCATTTCAGACTTTAAATTGGTTATATCTAGAACATTTTATACGTCTGTTTTATTAGGTTCTAATTACTATGTTCGTATCCTGAGTACTATTGATCGTGAATTACTCAAACCAAGTGCTTCAGTTGCTTTACACAAGCATTCCAATGCCTTGGTTGATGTTCTTCCACCTGAATCAGACAGCAGCATCGCTATGCTTGGTGCAGATGAGAAACCTGATATATGCTACTCAGATATTGGTGGTATGGACGTACAGAAACAGGAAATACGTGAAGCAGTTGAGTTACCTTTAACGCATTTTGAGCTCTACAAACAGATAGGCATCGATCCGCCCAGAGGCGTTTTATTGTTCGGACCCCCTGGTTGTGGAAAGACGATGTTAGCAAAAGCAGTTGCTCACAATACAACTGCTGCGTTCATTCGTGTTGTTGGCTCAGAATTTGTTCAGAAATATCTCGGAGAAGGTCCTAGAATGGTACGAGATGTGTTCAGGCTGGCAAAAGAAAACGCTCCTGCTATAATTTTTATCGACGAAATTGACGCCATTGCTACTAAACGTTTTGATGCACAGACAGGAGGTAGGTACCATAATTTTAAAAGAGTAGTACAACTAGACGTTACTATCGCAAGAAAAGTGCTGCCTCACTCCCAAGGGATCAAAGACAGTATGCGCAATTTGCTGAATACTCCCTGTTTATATCATCCCGCTTTGCCAGTACGAGTTGTGAGGCGGGGTTATTTTGATATATTCAAATAAGTTACGGTGCACGATTGAGCAAAAAACCGTATTATTTTCTAGACTATTATAGTTGACTGTAAACGAAAGGTTGTTCAAGCAGCAATAATAATCGTCTTGAACTACAAGATCTTCTCTACAACATTTGAGTTCTGTTAACCAGCATTTGAACTTTCGTTTAGCCTAGTGACTTATTTCAATACATCAAAATCATCCCGGCTTCCATCATGTAAACAGCCCACAAAGTCGAACGTCAGCTAAATATTCTAATTCTACTTTCTTGGCATGGGCGCGGTTTTATATGAACAGCTTCAATGCTTATAATTTCTTAATAGGTTTTGTTTGTGGAAACACCACGTAAATTTATTACTGCAGTAATGCAGTAATAAATTTACGTGGTGTTTCCACAAACAAAACCTATTATATTTTATCACCATGCAAACATACAAAGAACTTATTATAATTTCTTGTTTTTGTATGTATAATTATAATACTGTCAGTGGCGAAGCTAGCCGTAGCAACAAGTTATGCTGTGCATGCAAGTTTGTAATGATTTGCAATATTCAAATAGATGGAGGTTTTACTCAGTCAGAACTGCAAAACTATATATAATAAGAAAGAAATTGTGAGCATTATCGAAAAATATAGTATACCCTGAAATGTAGTGACAATGTAGCCCGGTAGGATTATTTCATATTATGCTAACAATGGACATATCTCGGGGATATATAAACAGACCGTCATACCTTGTACAAAAGTCGTAAGCTAATATGTGCAGACAACTGACAATCCACACTGGGCTGCCATAGCAATCTTATTAAGCCCCCGATTATTAATTAAGACGTGCATACACAACATTCTGCCTTTTTTTTGCGTGCATACATAGCTAAAATAAAAATATATTTGTCGATCGTTTGCATCGTGAAAATCCAACATACTGTGTTGGATTTTCACGATGCAAACGATCGACAAATGAACATACTCGTTCTGAAATCCTGAGAAGAATCATGCGTGCGCAATACAAAATAAAGTTTGAACGCGCCCCTCGTTTAAAAAACTTCCTGAAGCTTAATTATTTCCCCGGAATTACGACGTCCAGACAGACACGAATCAGCAGGGCCTCTTTTAAGGATGTGTAACTGGAGGGGACATATTTAGCGGGGGATCTGGAGAAGTTTCAGTCTTCAAGTCTGTATCACTGCAGCTACCAGCATATATATGCATGGTTTAACTAATAAGTATACGTCATAGGGCAGCAGATCAGGCCGTAGCTAGGAATCTGAGACGACCGAGTCGAAGGGGTCCCCCAGAAAATTTTGAATTTTTTGAAGCTCATATAAGCTATTTCCGGCATTTTGAGGAGTTCTCCCCACAAGTAATTAACCTTATAAACAGTGACACAATTACTGCAATTTCACAGTCTCCCAAATGTAATCCAGTCCCAATAAGGCAACATGGTGTGATGATGAAAATGTGCGTGCACTTCACATTCTACAGTACCGTATTATATGTATTGGGGTCAGGGCATTTTTTAAGAATTCGTCAGTGGGGGGGGGCATCTACAAAAAGGGACCATACTATACCGAGCGTGGAGATATGATAGATGGTTTGTTGGTAACAAAAAGTTAGGTGTGGTAATCGCATTTAATAGTGGGGGGGTCTGGGGGTTTTGTAGTTTTCTACCCCTATGACTGCAATTCCCTGCATTTTCTGAAACAGATTTTTGGATATACAGCATTATATTATGCTGTAGATAGACTGAACCTTCAGTTAACTACTTGCATAGTATGTTTATGTAGATACCACAACTTGGCCGTCACTCAGGGAGCCAGCTTGATAAACTTAGAGGGCCCAACTCCCACGAAGCGCCACCATGGTTGGCACAGAGCGGGAAAATTTTGAAAATTTTGCGTCTCTAAATTGTCGGAAATGGCATTTTCAAACTCTTCTCTACCTCTTTTGTTAGGCCCTTTCATTAATTCGTTCAATATGATTTGTGAGTTTATGCTATCCGCGAGTCAGGACGAATTTATCGCGAGTCAGGACGAATTATCAGGACGAGTTTTATGGGGGGCCAAAATTATCCCCCCCCCCTTATAAAACACTGGGTTGGGGGCCCATTGCCCCCTGCGGTCACTAACTTGTTTAGCTGAGCCTTCCAACAACTCAAATCTATAGGGTCTGGGAAATGCAACCCACTGGAAAATGTCTAAAATCTAATAAGTTATTTACAACACAATGTTTAGCATTAAAGATAAAAGACAGGACATAAGATTCACAAAGCAATTTTCAGTTACTAGAATATCAACCTCCCTTCTAAATTCCATGTTTTGCTTATATTTTAGAGAAAAGGGACTTTGACTGGGGGGGCCAAAATGGTTGAGTAGGGGGACCGTGGGGGCTGGGGAGCTTTGCCCCCAGTTATATAGTTAAAAATGCTAAAACTGTCTGTACCAGTGTGGGTAGTACCAATGTAGAAATGCTGTGCTGAGTGGTTATATTACTACCACTCAGCACAGCATAGTTAAAAATGCCCTGATTGGGGTACTTTAAATCGATGCATTCGTCTTCTCAGTGTCACTGTAGAGCAAGATAGGGTGGTCTCTTTGGAGTATCTTTGCTTGGAAAAACTAAACTAGAATTTCGTCCTAAAATTCCATTTCATGCCTTGTTCCACGAGCAAATTATTTCAGTCATGATTTAGGTTTTTGGCGATATTTAAATTTTAGTCCCCAAATTCTGGCCTACCGAGTCAACTGACTCGGTGGACTCATATAGCTACAATCCTAGACAAATAACATGCGGACGCTGATTAAAAAAGGCTGAAATTTAAAGGAATCGAATAATTATACGCATATTCGGCCGTATTTCCCGGTCACTGAATAATTATACGCATATTCAGCCGTATTCCCCGCTCCCCCGTTACAATGTTGTTGCTACAGATACTGCAATAGTTGCCATAAGATACTGCAATAGTTGCCATAATGACTGAAGTGTTCATCAACATTCAGGGGAGGGGGGACCGACTTGACGAAGTATATATGAAAATGTTTCAAAAAATAATTTATTTGCCATGTTTGTCCGAGTAAATTTGTCTATGATTGTCCGAAAATGTATATTACAATAAATCTTCGTTAATTATCTTTTTCTGCATTGGAAAACAGTCGGAAATTCTGCAAATGCTATATTATGACTGTATTAGAGTAATATAGCAAAATGAGCGGTAGAGATTAATGAAAGGAGCATTCGCTTCCGGTTTGTCATATGCTCACTAGATAGCGATGCGTTTACCGTCGCGTTTGTCTATCTCTTTGCGTGTTAACGCATGATAGAAAGAAGCGTATGACAATTATTTTATATCTAGTTGCGTAAAAACTCTATGCGATTATAGTATCATGAAATATATTAATTGTAAACCCTTGTATTTAAAATGCCCACGGTAAACATTGAAAAGCGATAGTTGCTGAATAATTAAGAATCATTGAGTAATTATATTTATAATGGGAGTCCTCGGATGTTTACCGTGATATTTTCCTGTTTTTTCCAAAGATTTACCGTGTATCAACATAAATGCAATGTAGATAATTTGGCTATAAGAAAGCATGTGAAATGGAAATTTATTGGGAAATCTGTCAGTGACAGGTTAAAATTTGTTGTGTGTGTTTACCGTCGGCCGCCGAGAAGTCCAAGAACCAAAATATTTCGTTTACCGCAAGTTAGCGCGTAACCTGCACTAACCAATACGGCCACAGATATAACAAAGCAGGTCATGATAAAGATTTAATTCTTCAATTTTGTGCTAAGAATTTACACATTTAGAGTATTATCAGAACATGCTCACTATAAGCATTTATACAGGCTAGTGTGTGTAAAATATTTTGACTACTCTATATCAGCCATATAACAGTGAATAATTATATTATACTATTATATTCGATGTTATTTTAGAGCTTTGAGTAGAATTCTTTCATCCCTTTCGTTTAAAGATTTTGGACGACCTTATGGCTTGCGGACACATGTACTCACACGGTTAATTTGCTTCCAACATATTGTGTGCATGCGCCGTTGATTTTGATATTCCACATCGTACGGCTATTCAGCAATAACTCTGTCCTATATATTCTCTATGAAAAGGAGCTAAAGCTCTTGTCTCCGTTCATACGTTTTCGCCACGTTGCGATTTATACGCACATTACGTTAATCATATGACGCCAACAATCTATCCAACTAACTGTAATTATAAAATATATTTGCATATTTTAACATTAATTTTAAATATTTTGAATATCATTTCTTATTCAGGTGTATATAGAACTTCGGTACTTATAAAATGTGAAAATGGGTTGCAATTATACAATAATTCATGCTTTATACAACCGACAGTTTTTCAGACAATCCTAGACAAATAACATGCGGACGCTGATTAAAAAAGGCTGAAATTTAAAGGAATCGAATAATTATACGCATATTCGGCCGTATTTCCCGGTCACTGAATAATTATACGCATATTCAGCCGTATTCCCCGCTCCCCCGTTACAATGTTGTTGCTACAGATACTGCAATAGTTGCCATAAGATACTGCAATAGTTGCCATAATGACTGAAGTGTTCATCAACAACAATGTTGTTGCTACGGATACTGCAATAGTTGCCATAAGATACTGCAATAGTTGCCATAATGACTGAAGTGTTCATCAACATTGTTTCAGGGGAGGGGGGACCGACTTGACGAAGTATATATGAAAATGTTTCAAAAAATAATTTATTTGCCATGTTTGTCCGAGTAAATTTGTCTATGATTGTAGTTACGGGCCTGCAGATGATGGTCAAATTCAGAAATGTTAACAACTTAACATCATTTTCTCACTTTGATACATAATCGCTGGTTGACCACCTATTGCAGGTAGTTCTTAGGGAGCTCACTGGGATGGGGGGGGATGGGGGGGGGGTGGAATTGACGATTTCCCTTATTACGTTTTCGTAGCGCTTTGCATTGTGGTTATAGTGGTATCACTGATATTTAAGATGGCTTATTTTTTGTCCTGACCCGTGCAAGAACTTTTAAAAAAGCTAGGATCAGGTGCGCGATAGCCAACAGCAAAATATTCGCGAAAACATTCAATATTTTCATTCGAGGCCGCTATCTTTATCAGTGGTACCACTATAACCACAATGCAAAGCGCTACGAAAACGTAATAAGGGGAATCATCAATTGCCGACTGGAGGGGCCAGTAAGAGGGCTAGGGGGGGGACATGTCCCCCCAGTCTATATGTTAAAAGAGGCCCTGCGAATCAGTCGAAATCTCGATTGTACATAACTCGGCCAAAGAGACTGGACACACGTAAACACAATACTTCATGTTAAGAAGCCTCGCGTTCCTTCCCGAGGATCGCAGGCTCGGGGAACGAGATTGGTTAAGAATAGTGTGCTGCTTTCGGCAGCAATTACTATCAAGAATTAAAGGAAAGAAATAGGAGTGCACCATGACAATCTTAAGAATATCATTATCTTTTGCATGTCTCATCTATTATTCTATAATGGTAGGCCTAAATAATAATAAGGGGTCATATTTGGTGTAAAATCTCTTATACGACAGGCATCTTGAAGTCCTTGTCAGAAAATAATGTCTTGTTAACATCATTTTATTAATTTTATTTCAACCAAACCTTGCGTGCTATTTAACATGCACCTTTATTAGACATCTTTTTATTTCCTATTATTTAGCGGACAGAGAGGTACAAAGAATATTACTAGAACTGCTTAACCAAATGGATGGCTTTGACCAGACCGTTAATGTGAAGGTAAGTATAAACTTACTATGTCATTGTGTACAAACGTGTTGTAAGCAGGAAATAATGGTGGATCCTGGCATCCAGGATCCCAGAAAATGTTTATTCCTGGCGTAGCTGGCAGAGAATTTTAGGGCATTGCATAATGCTTACCACTGATGCTAACGGGTACAGAAAATAATTTATTGGGAAGAATATTAGTGAGCTCGACAGAAAACGTTGACCCCAAAACTTGGAATCCCAGAAACAAAAATATTATTTCCTGCTACTGTATGTTTGTAAGACTGCACGGTATGAAGCGAACAGGTCGAACATGTTGGATATAGTATTACAATGTACTGAAAATATAGTTCCATGTAATATTGAATCGACTTTAAAATACTAATTTGCTCGAGAAGAAGTATCTACCAATGAATCGGTGTTGATCAAATTGGATGTATGTTTGATATAAATTTGTGCAATTGCATGGTAAATATATAAATATTAGAGATTCTTGTTTCATTGGTATTGTGGTACAAAATCTGGCTACTTAAATTAATACTTTAATTCCCCAGAATACTTACAGTTTAATACAAAACTATACTTCCTATTTGCATTTTTAATTCTCTATAATACTGACAATTGCGAAATCGAAGAATCGTGTTTTCAAACAGGAAGTGTTTTTCTTCGCTCTCAGAGCTTAATATTGATGTAATTTTACACCCGCAATTTTACAAGGCCAAGAGAGTCCACCACCATGTCAATCCCTGGGGCTGGTTGTTCAAAAACCAGGGTTTTTTTACTTAATCTATATATAAATCAACGAAAAACTTTAAAGCAATATTCCCAACAGCTGGTTTATACACATGGAAAATTTTTTTTCAGAAATCTTGTCTGGATCAATACAAGTTTTATTTTGATTCTAAAGTTCTAAAATAAACGGACATGCGGAACTATTATACAAAAACCGAAACAGTAGCCAGCAAGTTAAATTTTAACCCATGCATTCTTAACCGCAAGAAAATGTACAACGTAAATGAAGCCGCTTAAGGCCAGGAAATCTGCTTAAGGCCAGGATCTATAATTTCTCTTTTGAGGGAGTTTTCTTTTCCCTATAGAAAAAAATTCATTCAAATAACCTTTCATGTATTTTGGCTACCACTCAACATTATTTTTGGGGCCTTGGCCATTTTTGGGCATTGATACAGTAATCATAAATATCATCATGATATTTGTGATTTCGTACAGTAATCACATGACACATGTATATCTGTATTTTCATACAGTAATCACAAATATCATCATATTTGTGATTACTGTATGAAAACACAGAAAATGTTTAGCATATCTTAAATGCGCATGCATGTTCACATCTTTATTTAGGTAATAATGGCCACAAATAGACATGATACCCTCGACCCTGCTTTACTTCGACCTGGTAGGCTTGATCGTAAGATAGAATTTCCATTACCTGACAGACGACAGAAAAGGTTGATTTTCTCCACTATCACGGGTAAAATGAACCTATCAGAAGAAGTCGATTTGGAAGATTGTATCCTTTTATTTTACATATAATCAAGAATATGTTCATACCATGCAGTTGTTAGCCTGCGTACGCCTGATACACAGGCAAACCATGCAGTAGTATACTATAGGGTTTGTCACCGTCATACAATCTCGAACGGTGGGTGCCAGTGTGGGTAGCAAGGATTCAAACTGCGATGCGAGCACTGTATATTTTGAAGATTCAACTAACTTCCTGACGAAGGTCCTCCGCTCGAAACGTCGAGGTTCTGTTTGTAATTGTCGCTGTCAAAACTTTATTACTGTAAGCTCGCCGGAGTCTTATATGTTTGAGGGGAAAACTTATTGCATAAGGGGCTTGTGAGAAATGGTATGATATATATGCAGGATATACACATGCAGGATTCAAATTACGGTCTTTAGTGTCAAATGGGAAAATGTAAACACGGTGACGCGAACAGGGATGGATCCAGCATGATCTGGTATTGGGGGGGGGGGGGGGGGGGGGG